GTCCGCGGTCCGCGCAGGAACAGATCCCAGAATTGGGGTCTCTCTCCGTAGGCCGGTTGTTGATTCCAGGCGAGGTTCTTCAGCGGAATGCGTCAGCTTCTTGCAGCCTCTCTGTTCTGGGAACCAGGCAGGAGTGCTGAGCGCCTCGGTCAGACAGTTGCGGCTGCAACCTTAAACTGTGAGCCTAGACCAAACGTCCACGTGGAAGTCCGCGCAGGAACAGATCCCAGAATTGGGGTCTCTCTCCGTAGGCCGGTTGTTGATTCCAGGCGAGGTTCTTCAGCGGAATGCGTCAGCTTCTTGCAGCCTCTCTGTTCTGGGAACCAGGCAGGAGTGCTGAGCGCCTCGGTCAGACAGTTGCGGCTGCAACCTTAAACTGTGAGCCTAGACCAAACGTCCACGTGGAATGAGGGGCACCAAGGAAAAATACGTGGTGTCCTTGGGGACAGTGGTGTGATGAAGTGAGTCTCCACAGGGGCAGGGCCGATGTGGATTCCCTGGCACCGCGGGACAGCAAGATGAGGCGCTGAGACCCAGATCCCACGGGGGAAAGGGGAGGCAGGAGCATGATGCGGCGTCCTTTAGTTGTCAGGGTGCGCTCTGTGCAGTTCCTAAGCTAGAAACATGTGGAAATGATGATCACCAAAGTGACTCCAGAGGTGCCCACGTGAAGTCTGGAGTCGAGGGGCAGTCAGCCTTGGGCAGGGGACCCCAGGCCTGAGCTATGATCTGGGTACAGGAGAACGAGAAGGGCTGTGGGGACTCCAGAGGCCTTGGCCAGAAGCTGAGTGCACAGTGGGTGGTAGGCTCAAGGGAGGAGGGCCAAATGTGCACATGTGCAGACGCCTGAAAACATTGGGGTGCCGAGGTAGACCAAGAGTCGGGGCTTTGTTGCAGGGTGCTGAGGCTGAGAGGCTGCTCTCTTTGGGGTTGGAGCTCTGACGGAGATGCTGATGGGAGTCCAGTGGAGGGAGACTGTGGAGGACAGAAAGCCCTGGGACAAGGGGGCAGCCATCCTCCACAGGAGCCCGGCAGCGCTCTGTCTCTAGGGGGTAGGCTTGCCTAGAGGTGAGGTGTTAGTGTTGGGACAGCAAGAGGTACAGATGAGCAGCCCAGGCCTGAGCACAGAGTGACCTTGGCTCGCAGGATAGACGGATCCTTAGTCACTTGGGCCGGGTCAGGGGCGCCGCACTTGGAGCATGCGCAGTGGTCTCTGTGGACAGCCGGTGAGACTATGTCCAGAATTCCAGTGCAGGCCCCTGGTCCCTCCAGGAAGAAAATGCAGACCCAACATCCGGGCTGCTAACTACTCCTCCCAATGACTTCATTTGCCAGCAGCACTGCAGACCTCGATCCTG